CATTTGTTGAGTATTTTCTCACTGTTTGGATGTGGCGCTCAATGAATCCATGGCCCTTTGAGTAGTATGGTGAAGAGGTTATAATTTCAAAACCATACTGATTAGCTAGATTTCTAAAGTCTCTTGACGTGAATTGTGAACCGTTGTCACAGATAAAGGATTCTGGTATGCCTTGTTCTGCAAATAATACCTTAGTTAGTCGGATTATTGTACTTGCTCGAAGGTTTTCTAGTTTTCGTATGAATGGGAATTTTGAGTAATAGTTTGCGATAATGAGATACCAAGTGTTATTGGTGTAGAATAAATCAGCTCCAACAGTGTGCCACGGACTTGGTGGGGCTTCTGTAGGAATTATTGGCTCTTTCTGCTGCAAGTTGTGAAATTTCTGACACGAGGTGCAATTTGCGACAAGATTGTCTATGTCCTTGTAGATTCCTGGCCAGTAGACACTGGATTTTGCTCTCAGTTTGCATTTCTCCATTCCAAGATGACCTTTGTGTATTTGTTGTAAGATGTCATCTCTCAATGCTGTGGGAATGAGTATTCTGCTACCTGTCAGAACTGTGCCATCCTCAATGGATATGTCGTCACGTACTGACCAGTATGGTCGTAGAACTGATAGTACTTTCTTGATGCTGTCTGGCCAACCTTATATGATTTGTTGTATCAATAACTGAAGGGTTGGGTCTTTGCTTGTTTCTTCTCGGATCATTGATAGCTTTACTGGTGTGATGCTTACCAGGTGGTGAATCTTCACTTCCATATCTTCCGATAGTGCATCAGCCAGAAGCATTTGTTTTCCGGGTTTATATCTGATGTCAAAATCATATGGTTGTAAGCGTAGTAACATTCGCTGTAGTCGTGGTGGTGATTTGGTTAAGTTTTCCTGTGAATCTGCTCAAGTGGACGGTGATCACTCTCGACACAGAAGGGTCGCCCATATAGATAGGTGTGAAACTTTTCACATCCATATATTACAGCAAGTAGTTCGCGTTCGATATTTGCGTATCGGGTTTCGGCTGGTGTCAGTGCTTTAGATGCGAAGGCGATTGGTCTGTTGTCTTGTAGTCGCACTGCTCATATGCCCTTGGATGAAGCGTCAACTTCAAGAATGACTGGTTTCTTTTGGTTATAGTATGCGAGTGTTATCTCGGCGCTGATAAGGCTCTTTATTTTGTCGAAACTCTTTGTGTGTGTTGGCGTCCAAACGAATTCTGAGTTGTCTTTGATGAGTTCTCTCAGTGATGCTGTGTGGTCTGACAGCTTGGGTATGAATGGACCCATGTATGTAACAAGACCAAGAAATGTTCGCAGTTCTTTCTTGTCATTTGGAGGCTGCATCATTTCTATGGCTCTGACTTTGTCTGGACTTGGTTTAACTCCTTCAGCGGTGTATAGCATACCATAGAAATTGCATTCTCTGCTTTTTATGTGACATTTATCTCTGTTTAGTTTTATGCCTGCCCGTCTGGTGTCTTCCATAGCTTCATGTAGATGTAAGTCATGGTCTGTTTCATTTGAACCGTATACTTGTATGTCATCTGCTATGCCTATGGCTCCTTTGCAGT